ACTTTACAAAACACGTTATTCTAAAAATAAAATAAAAATAATTATGGCAGATTTTAGCGCCTGATAACACATGTATTTAACTAAAATTATAAGTATTCAACTTGTCTACACGAAATTTTTAAACCCTAACAAAAACTACAGTCCATTTACATTAGTTCCCGTTTAAAACGTTGTATATTTAGTTTTACCGTCAAAATATTTACATGCAAATAAGCCTGTTTAAGTGGTGAATAATCATAAATATGCCATAAAAAAATATTTTTTTTATATTCGAATTAAGAAAAACAAACATTCAATAAATAAATGTAAAGTAAAAAAAAAGTAAACGCATAAGCTTGATAGTTTTCGTAATTTCAGTAACAAAAAAGACATTAAATAGAACTTCTAAATATTCATGCCTAATTATAATGTAATAAAAAACTAAAACAAAAATGACGAACACGTGAAAACAAGATATGTCTTAAAGCAAAATTAGCTGTAGGGGTGAGATTGCACCAAGGCACGTAAATTTTCACAATTTTTGGACGAAAGAATAAATAAATAAAACACATTAATTTTGTTTTGTTACTACATTTAAACCAAAATAATGTCTTGAAGATAAGACAATTAAGCACCAAAAAACGCAGCCAAAATCTATTGTAAACTGCCCTTCTTTGAACGTTTTGTCTTGCTTTTTATAAATTAAAAAAAAAACTATTTCCAAGCTAAAAAGATCTTTTAGGTAATGGATATATAACTATTCTATAATATTAAGCGAATCTATAATAAAAATTAACACGAAAAAAGTCAATAATTCAAGCAACCAGCACCCAAAATTGCAAGTTTTCAACATTGTAGTGAGAAAAAAACATATTAATTCCTACTTCTAAATTTTGATTTGCCTTCTGAATATCGGCAACTCTAAAACAAAAATGTTAAATATAAACTTAAACTAATTTTAAATCATAACTAGCTGTAGGGTGCTTGCACCAAGTCACGCAAGTTTTCATCATTTTTGAAAGCAAAAAATAAATAAAGCATGTAAATTGTTATTTTTAGTAGCTGACGGCACATATAATACAAAATAATGAGTAACATGAAACACAAAATTTCCTTTTCTTTAAATAATAAAGTAAAACCTTTACTTATTAACATTAACTTTGGACGTTCGGGAATTTACACGCATTAGTAACAATCTATATTATTTATACAAAATGCATAAGCTTAACATTAATATTCATATTTTACATCAATTTAGTAAAAGCTTACCTTGTATAGTATTGGACAAATAATTTAGTATACTACTTTATTATTTTTTTTTAAACCCACATGGTAATTTTGCCTGCAGTTAGCCAACAAATTTGAATAAGACTAATTACTCTTAACAATTCCATGTCGAAAATAAAACAACTTTACATTATTTTTTGCTGTTGATAGCACTTATAAACAAAAAATGATGTTTTTTTTTTTAAAGAACATAAAAATGAAAACAACGATTCTCTATATACTCCCTTCTTAAAACGTTTTGTACTTAATTTTACCAAAAAAATGTTTATTTCTACACTAAAATAACTATTAAAAGAAAAAGGCTTATATAATAACGTGAAAATTAACGTCATGTCGAAAATGTAAGATAATTGCGCTTGTAAGATTGTATGTTATCAACATTGAAGTGAGAAAAAACAAATTCAACATTGTAGTGAGAAAAAACAAACATATCAATTCGTAATTCTGAATTTTGATGGCTACTATCACATAATAAATAACTAAAACAAAACTGGCCAAGATAAAAAAAAATCATTTAATAAATTGTTAATTTTGGGGGCTGATTACAGTTACTACCAAGGTAACATCGTGAACAGAATCCTTTAACCATCTAACAACAAATTATTTTAAATACATTCCTTCTTAAAATGTTTTGTACATCTTTTTACCTAAAAAAATCTCGTTCAAAGCTGAAAAAAAACCTTAGATGACAGACAGATATATACATATTCTATAAAATGAGACGAGCCTCTTATAAAAATTAAAATGACAATAAACTCAAACAATTAAATTTGTCAGCAGCTTGTGCCCACGATTGCATGATTTCTACATTGTAGTGAGAAAGAAACAACATATTAATTCGTATTTCTACATTTTAATTAATTCCTGAATATCAACCATATGCAAAACTAAAACAAAAATGGCAAACATAAACAAGATCTGTCTTAAACCATAACAACTGTCGCGTACTGCTTGCGCCATTGCACGTAAGTTTTAATCATTTCTGGAGGGGGAAATTTTTTTGTGGTTGATACTCGATACCACACATAATCCAAAATGATGTCTCGAACATACGAAAATCTTTAAGCGGCTAAAAAAGAGCATCTAACACTATCATAAACGTAATACCACCTTTGAACGTTTTTTATTTCTTTTGACCGAAAAAATATTTGTTTTGATGATCTATAAAGGCAATTTAGGTAATGGATATAACATATTCTGCAATATAAAACGATGTTATATAAAAATTAACATGACATTAGACGGCAAGTAAATAAATAAAAGCAGCTTGTGCGCAGAAGTGCAAGTTTTCAACATTGTAATGAGGAAAAAATATTAATTCACATTGAATTCGTAATTGTAGTAAAAAAATAAAAAATAAACAGACGTTCTGCATTTTGATTCGACTTCTCAATATCATATATGCAAAGCTAAAAGAAAAGTAACAAAGATAACAAATTCGTCTTCATTCTTTAAATGATTGTCTGATACTTGTATTCGACCCTACAATTAGAATAAATCATTAATTAATATTTGTCAAAACTGGTATAAAAATAAAATAAAATATTATAAATTATGCTTGCATTGTATTTACTGTCCTTAAAGAATTATAAAGATTAAAAGATGTCCCAATCAATTATTATTTTTATCTAAGGTTTTTGGTTGAGATGAAAAATTAGTGTCCCGATCGTGACTAATTTTCCATCTCACCCCCCCCCCCCAAAAAAAAAACCCTTAGTTAAAAAGAATAATTAAAAAACAATTTTAATTAAGAATAATTAATATGGTTAATTATGACCACTAAGCAAATGTGGATTGAAAGATGTATAAAAATCAATCAAGATGAGTCAAGATATTTGAGTCCGAGTGTGTAGCGGAAATAAAAATTGGCAATAAAAAAAAACTTTAATTAGTACTTTTGGTGTATAAAATAAATAAAAACTATAGAGAAAGTAAAAAAAAAATTAATCTTAATGGACGTCATCGTTCATGACTCCCAGATTACAAGCACAATTTATTTATTTTGCATGATAAATCAAAACAAAATTTTATTGTAGAGACTAAGATAGGCATTATAGTGTCATAAAAGGAGACATGTCAAGATATTGGAAGTGTCATCCTGTTTCTGTATTGCCTTTTGTTTTCTAGTTTATTGATTGCTTGTTCTAGCTGTGTGTTTTTTAAGGGGGTTCGCAAAAGGAGAGGTCTATCAATCCCCGGGTGTTGGTGTTTTTGGGTGAAAAAAAAGGTATGTTCGAATGCAGGGCCGCTGGATTCGAACCCGGGACCTTTTCCTTCGGCTACCTTCAGTATAAAGTACAAGTAACATACACTTTACGTTATGTACAATTATAAATAATAAATTATGTTTTGCATTTAGTTATTCAGATTCTTTTTATGATCAGATATGTACAGTCAAAAATAACCGAGTAGAAGGGCCCTTTCACAAACAACCTTCTTACATTATTCACAAATGCTTTTGGTGCTAGTTTAGTTATTATCTATGTTAACGAGTTAAACAACTTTATTGCCCAATAATTTTATCCACTAAAGAAGTGCAGTCTTACTACAGAAAGTTTTAGCGTGGTAACCTTTTTTGTCTGGCATTCCTGGTAATTATTAACTCTAATTGAGCTGTTTGTATTATTGTATAAAAGCTTTAAGCACTGAAGAATACCGAGACTTGGAAATTAATTTCACCAAAGGCATTTTTACAATCAGTATTAAAATCTAATTTTTTCATAACACCCACAGCCTTTCTTTGTCAAATGAAAATAATTTTTGCGGAAGCAGAATGTACCTCCTGCCCAAGAATAATAGTATTGGTTATAGTTTATAGTTTTCAACTAGCAGTAAGCCTGATAGTAATAGCGGCAATAAAAAAAAAGAAAACAACCAACACATGCCTTTTTTTACACATTGGCAGGCCTCCATGTAATTTTTAAGGCAATTTTTTAAAAATTTTTGTTTACAAACTATAAATAAATATTTATAAATATTTATTATAAATATAAAAAAACATAATATTTGCCATAAAAGGTGTGAATTTTTTTTGTGTAAACCTTTTAAGTAATAAAGGAAGATTTTTTTTCTACACGTCGATAAAACCATTTCTAATTAATTTTGACAAAATGTATTGGCTCTATTAACTAAAAAAAAAACAATATGGCGGATATACATACATAGATTATGTATAAACTATAAACTATTTTATTGGACTGGAAACGGCCAACAAAAGTTGTCAGTACATAATCAATAATTTAAATTATGTAATATATAATGCAAATCCAATTCCGTTGCTTGAAAAAATTAAATGAAATACAAATGCAAAAGCTGTTGTTTATTTTTGGCGATGACTTTTACGGAAGAAACCTGTGGGGAATATATCATTAACTGATTCCCGAGATTTACCGCCGCCCGAAGAAAAACAACAACAGCATTTTAGGTTTAAAAACAACAAATTAGGTCGAAATCAGGTAGACAGGAGAGAAAATATTCTTTTTAAAGGTAGGAACAAAGGGTTCAGGGAAAGAAAGAACGCGGAAGAGCAGACGAACTATGCATAATTACATTTCGCCGCGTAATCATTAAAGATATTTGTTATATAAAAACGACGTACAAAAAGGAAAACCGACAAAAATATCATCCACGAACATTGATTGTCTCCAGGTATTAGCTGGTACGGAGTGTAGGAAAATAAATTGGTTAAAAAAATATTTAAGTAAGCCTGATAAATGACAAAAAGTCCAACTCACTTTGTTCTGCTCGAGAGAGTCCGTTTCCTTCCGAATTTTAACTGTTCGAGGAAGACAAAAAAACGGCGAAGCGGAGTCGGCGGAGGCTCCCGGGTTCACGGCGCCATGTTTACAGACTGAGGGGAAGAACGAGCTTTTCTGGGTTATCGCTTGACAGTTCGGCCCGCGGCGGTGTGGAGGGGGTGCGACGCGGCTGCCGCCAACGGGCAAACGCCAACTACGCAATCGGGAGGTTTAAACACTGTTACCGCGGACACTTGTTTCCACGCTGACCTGGAAAATTGTCCGTTCCATATCCAACAACTCTGAATGTTCGTGCTAAACGCGAAGATAAATCGTAAGTGATTATACCAGGCCCTTCAAAAAATCCTATTAAAAAAAAATTATGGTATTTACATACACTCAAAGACAAAACAAAAATATCCGACACTATTTTGTTCTTTATTTTGAAACGATTGGGTTGTCCGGAAAATAATGCAAGGCTTCATATTTTCTTTCATTTACCCCTCTATTTAATAAACTGTTCACGGTTGATGGATTATTCTTTTGTACGAATGTCAACGCTTTTTAAACCACTTCCATACAAAAATGTTTGTTTACCTCAGTAGCATTTCTTCCTTCGGGAACAATTCAGTCTTTACTTAGATATCAACGTTTAATTTCGTTATTATAAACTGCTCAAATATGAACAGGGATATTGCCAAATTTTTTAATTTCACTCCGTAGATGTTGCGACGCACTCAGTTGTTGCGCGTTGACTGGCAGCGGATGATGATCGAAAAGCCTTTTCTGCAACGCAGCCCACAGGTGCTCAATGGGGTTGAGGTCTGGAGACAAGAAGGGGCAGATGGGAAATTCCCAGGTTTTCTAAACATTGATGAACAACTCTGCCTCTGTGAGGTCAGACATTGTCATCCAGAAATGAAAATCTCTACCAATGAGATCATTTGTTTGTGGGATATATTCCTCGATTATTTCTGGTGAGGTTGCCTGCAACGATATGGAGTCCAGTTCGTCCTCTAGTGTAAATCCCAGCCCAAATCATTACATCGCCTCCTCCAAACTGCACTGAAGGGAGCATGAATTGGGGCATTGTATGCATTCTCTGTTCTCAGTAAACTCTTCGGCGCCTCCTATCATTATACAGACAGAAATGTGACTCATCGGTAAACATAACAGCATGCAAATTGGTGTTCTCTTCTAGCTGCTCGCTGCACCATATTCTCCTGAATTCCTGGTGGTGGGCTGTTGCTGCAGGTTGTCTCAAAGGGGCATACAATGTGAGGCCAACTTCCTACAAACGATTACGTTTGTGCTGATAACGGCTTCGCTAAAACATCTTGTACTTCATTTAGGATCTAGAGGGCACTATGGAAAGGGTTCTTCCGTCTTGCAGCTATGATAATATTTCTTTCCTCCCTTAGTGTCGTAAATCCACTACCAGGCTTTCTGTGGGCACTTCCAGGCTCTTACAATCAAAATTGGAACCACGCTCTGAGAGATGCCAACTGCCTCTCCAATATCCACTTGCTGGTGACCTCAAAGCTGTGGTGTGCTCATTCTCACAATAATATTGCCATCTTCTGGTTCAAGATGATCTTGTCTTTCCATGGTTAAAGAGTATTAAAATGGAGAAAAGATGAGAAAAGGTGTTTGTTTACAAAATCAGTATCTTTATGTTTACTATTCATAAGAAAATCCATTATTAAAAATGAGAATTAACATTTGTTTATCTTTGGCTTGTATTTTCTATTTTGTTTTATCCAACTAACAAGAATTTATCGGTTAATTTAATAAAAATTAATAGAATAAGTATAAATTACAAATATCCCTATTCATTTTTGAGCAGTTTATATTATTGAGTATAACCCGGTTAGAACGGTGTCCAAACGGCCTGAAAATTTAAGGAACTCTGTGGCAGGTGTGAGCGAGAACAACATTCACAGATGGTTTAAATTTCGAGATGGAAATTGGATTTCTTCCCTATATGATGATGTTCTGCAAGCATTGGTCGAAGTCAGTACAACGTAAAAAATGTATTGTATTATAAAAATTTATTCAGAAGCCATTACAAAATGTGTTTACAGAATTGGTTAATCATAAAGACTCAAAATTCTAATCGGTTATAGAGAAGTTGCCACATTTTTATTTTTTTATTGTCTATTATTTTTTTACAAAGTTTTAAATTGTACAATATATTGAATATTTATTTTGTTTTATTTTGCAATTTATTACATGTTTATTTTTAGTTTGGATCATGCAAGATTGCACAGCTAGGTCCTCTTAAAGTTGCTAGTTGTTCTCTCCTAACACTTCAGTCCACAAGCCCGTTTTTTTTTTTTTTTTTTTTTTTTTTTTTTAATTTAATACAGTTGTGAGTAAATAAGGTTTTCATAGTCCTGAAGTAGTGTCAAATACACCTAAAAATTTAACATCCGAACACAATTTTGTTGGTTTTTACCTTCAACCCTGATCTCCCAGTTATCTACTATATAACAAACTACTGTATAAACTGGCAAGAAGCACTACTTTACTGTCAATTCCAATCTTAATTGTGATCAGCACAGTCATGTGTTGAAATAGTTCTGCTCCAAAATTACCCAGCCTATTGTGGCATATGCAATTTTTAATTTTACACATAAAAAAGGAATTAAGACAGATATGCAAAATCGTGGCATCCAGGAAGATCTACCCCACACCCTACTCCTTGTAGGTAGGATGCATTGATAGTTGTAACTTAGTGCAACAGCTACTTTTGAAGCTTGTGTAGGATTTGGTGAAATGCAAAATTCCTGACTTGGTCCTACTCCTGACAACTTGTAGTGCTGTTTTTAAAGGTCTGCACTCATTTTGTTTGGGACTTAACTCATATTTGACTTACATACAGCCATAGTGATGGATGATGGTGAAGTAGGTTCGTATTTTTTACTAAAAAATAGACCTTTCAGAATCTGTCGACCTATTATGGACTAATAAGATGTGGGCTAGCCATGCCACAGTTTTCAGTCTTGACCTAGGCCTAGGTTGTGAACAACCATGTGTGTTGATAAGTAGGCTAGGTCATCTGTATTCATAGGAAGCTACATAAGAAATTAAATTGCATCATTAGAGAATTATGTTTGTTCATTTTCAGTTGTCAATGTTCAGTCCAGCTAAATATTTTTTCGGTTAGTGTTTAGAGAACTTCCTAGACTTAACACTTTTTACCACTGTTAACTTAGATAATAATATGTAGTAAACATTCAGCACTCAGGAATCTGTATTTCTTCTGGCTTACCTATTACTTAGAGTACTAATAACAGACAGTTGAACAACAGACAACAGTTGAAACCTGTATTTTACAATGAGGTGTGATAAAGTTTTGAGCCTGGAGGTTTTTTATTCTGAGCATGTAATGAAAATTCACCATAAAATATTGTGCCTCTTAATTATTTAAATCTTCTTAAGGGATTTTTGTAAAATAGATAATAACTTTTACACTTTTACAGTAAGACCTGCCATCAGACAAATATTGAGAAAAATGATCAATGGATTGTTAGAGGAATCCACAAATCCCTTGAAGCGGGTCTCTGAATACTCTTTAGATGATAGCGAGGCAAAAAAGGCAAAGCCAGATTTCCAGAGGGTAAAAAAATGGAAATATGCTGTTCTGCTCTCTTACTCTGGGCAGGGCTACTTGGGGTTGCAAAGGTAAAAATTCATTCGTCACTTTTCTTTTCTATTTTTTTGGAAATTGAATTTCTTAAAGGAACCCTGGGCAAAAGACAATAGAAGAAGAACTTTTTAAAGCACTCCTGGCAGCAAATGTGATAAATGAAGAAGCTTATAATCAACCCAAAATTCTGGATTTTCAAAGAGCCGCTCGGACCGACAAGGGTGTTTCAGCTGTTAGACAGGTCCTTTCTGTCAAGCTCCGTAAGTAAAAAATATTTTTTGTGAGGAATTTTGAACTTTCGGTGATATGCTATCTTTAGACATTCATTTGAACTTTGTACTATAGAGTAAATAATCATCTTTAATTATTATTATTTCTAAAAATTAAAGCCACAGAAGTAAGCTTAGAATCAGTGAATTCCCATCTGCCTGACCAGATAAGGATGGTAGCATTAAAAAGAGCCACAAAAGGATTCAATTGCAAGGGAAATTGTGATGCTAGAACTTATTCTTACATGATGCCAACTTTTGCCCTGGCGCCAAAAGATGTGTCAGTCAGTCCGGATTATAGGGTGACACAAGACATTTTAGAAAAAACACAAGCGGTTCTGCAGACATACGTTGGAACTCACAATTATCACAATTTCACTTCTAAAAAGTAATATTTAAAAAACAATATATATAGCTGCTCATTATTTCTTAATTCTGCAAGAAGGACGTGTTTTTAGAAAGCCTTTAGACCCGAGTGCAATGAGATATATAATAAGTTTCGTCTGTGAGGAGCCAGTTCTGTGTGAAGGAATGGAGTTTGTGATTTTGAAAGTAAAAGGTCTGTCTAATTTAGATAATGTTTACTCTTGTTTTAAGATTTTTTTTATTAAGTAAATTTTAGGCCAAAGTTTTATGCTTCATCAAATTAGAAAAATGGTTGGACTTGCAATTGCCATTGTGAGGGGATATACAACAGAAGAAACTATTAAGAAAGCATGGGGAGAAGAAAGATTGGACCTTCCTGTGGCACCCGGAGCTGGTTTGGTTTTAGAAGAGGTAATAAAAAAAAATCTAGATTAAAAATTAGAAAGAACGAGTAGAATTTTTTTTTTTTTTTGTAGGTGCATTATGACCGTTACAACCAAAGGTATGGTCAAGATGGCATACACGTTGAAATTGAATGGTCGAAAGAGAAAGAACAACTTGAAGAATTCAAGAAAACGTTTATCCTATCCTCAATCGTTAAATCGGAGAAGGAAGAAAATTCGTATCCTTTATGAAAAACATCAATTGTAATGAATGAACGCCTGTTATTAGAAAATGTATTCTTATCTTGAAATTAGTATGGCAACATGGCTGGAAACGCTTCCTATGCACACCTTTGATATTAGAAATGTACATCGACATCAAAAACCTAAAGACGATGAAGAAGAAGAAGAAGAAGACGGTGTCAGCAGAGAATCCAACTCTGACGATTCGAGGAACATTGTTTGACATGTGTTGTGTATAAATTTTATTTTATTAGCATTTGTACATCGTTTAAAATAGAACTTTTTTAAACAGTTTTAGTTTTTTCTCTTTTAATGTCTAATTATTTAAGTTAACCTAAGATTGAAAAATTGCTTAACTCACAGATTGCTAAGTCTTGGAGTAGGCCACAGGTGCATCTTTTAAACACTTATATTTGTGGGTGCGTGTGTGTGTGTGTACTCTTTTCTAACATTAAAAGTGTAAATATTTAAAATAATGTCAATGGGTGTGGGTGAATTACATAATTATTTATATAACTAGATGGAAAGAGGGTTGGCGAAGAGATGGATATTTACATGGCATTGTAAGGTGTCAAGCTTCTTATGCATATAATCTGCGATTGCACTGTGCATGATTCACCTACATATAAATGATAGTTTTTGATGAAGCTATTGAAACTATATGATGTCTAAGCAATTCTATCAGAGCCACCTTGTCGTTGAAGACAATTATCAGGATTATGAAAGCACAGTGCCATTTTAACAGCTACAAATTGAATCCGTGGCATAACTAAATGAAAAATTGGTGTTATAAACTCATCATTGAGAAATAATATATAAAAAAAAATTATAAAAAAAATTAAAAAAACAAAAAAAACAGAAAGTATTCCATGAATTCTTTAAGTTAAGTATGATGTGGAATATAGTAATTTATTCTTTTGATTTGTCTATCCAAAAATTGTAAATAAATAATGAAAATTTCCCAAAGCTTAAGGCAAATTTTGAAAATGGGCACCTCCTGTGCCACAGGTTGATGCTTTGAATTGCCAAATGCCACAGATGTGTCTTTTAAGCAATAATGAACTTATGATAACTTCATGATGACGTCCACAGTGGAGGCAAAGCCGGATTCTTGCCAGATACAGTGACCCCACAGTGGAGTCAAGCCCCTCTCTGAGTGACATTTTTTTTAAAAAGTTTTTTCCCCCGCAATTTAGTTAGAAGTTGTATAATGCGCCCTTAGAGCTTGAAGTCAGGAATGGTTCAGGACAGCCTGGACTATCTTATTGTGAACATCGTTTCTGAGTCTCTAACCTTAAACTGCTTGATAGCACTATAAACGCATATCTACTTTCTATGCCACTTTTTTTTTGGCAAGTTTGTAGTGCCACTTGCCACTGGCAAACCTTTCTTCTAAATAATATTTTTTACGCTTAGTAACTAGAAAAAAATTTTGTTTCTCTTCTACATGAAAGATTTTTTTTAACTTACCTATTTTGTCTAGAGTTTAGTCAGAAACCAACTTTGACAAAGTGTGTAATTGTAGAAGCAATATAAATATGGGACTAATTAATTTTACCTCTGTTTTCATACAATGGAAGGAAGTCGGGATTACTCAGGTAAATATTTTTTTACAAAATTCGTCAACTGCGCCTTAGTTTTTTGTTATAATTTATATTTTTATTTTACTACAATGTGCAATAATAATACTATTTTTCCAGGATAACCACAACCAGTACCATTTGTATGTACACTTTCTGCATGGGGTGCAGCGACAAGCCAGGGCTCTGCATTCCAACACAGTTTTTGGAATTTTCCAAAAACAAAAATTTTAAATCATTCATTTAATAAAAATATGTTATTATTAATTATTTTTTGATTGTAAAGTTTTTTATTTTTTAAAATTTTATGTTATTTTATTTATGTTCTTTTTTAATTGTAAACGATTCAAATGAGTGAAAAATTGTGAATATACAATTTTATTCTTGTAAATACGCTGCTTTTTAAATAATTTTTTTGTTTCTTTTTTTAAATTCATTCTGTAAAAATTAAAAACAAAATTATTTAGAATACGAAAATTCTAAATAATTCATGACAACAGTGATTGGTCAAAGTGCGTTGAGTTGAGGGTTGGCATACTCAGATTTTCGACACATACGGTTGACTTCAGTGTGGAATCATGGTGTAAAACCCTACAAAAATGCACTTTTGAACCGTAAAACATTATCTACTATCAATTAGAACCTAAATGCAATCAACCTATCAAGTTTCACGAAAAAAAATTTCTGTATCTAAGTTATGGTCCTGGATTTCGGTCCTGCATTGAAGAGGTTAAATACTGTCAGCGATTTACGTGAGCAGCAGTACCAAAACTAGCTTTGAGTTTTGATTGATTTATATAGTCTCAATTTTGCCCGTGTATGCACTTGTACACGTGAGTATGTATAATTGCATTTAATATAATGATAGGAGGCGCCAAAGAGTCTACCGCAAACAGTGGTGCGTACAATGCCCTAGTTCGTGTTCCCTTCAGTGCAGATTGGAGGAGGTGATGCAATGATTTGGGTTTTACACTGGAGGACCAACTGGACTCCATAGTGTAGAAGACAACCTCACCACAGTCTGTTATGTCCAAGAAATTATTGAGGAATACAGCCCTCAAACCAGGGATCTCATTGACTGGGATTTTCGATTTCTGGATGATAATGCCTGACCAAATAGAGGCAGAATATTTAGAAAATCAGGGAATTTCCCATCTGCCCCTTCCCTCATTGTCTCCAGAATTCAATCCCATTGAGCATATGTGGGATGGGTTGCAGAGCAGGCTTTTCAATTGCCATCTGCAGCCGTTTGACCAGCAACAACCGAGTGCATCGTTGCAACATACATTTATGGAGTGAAATAACTTATGAAATTAGTGACCACTTTATTAACAGTATGGCTAGCAGGCGCACAGAGGTTGTAGCTAACAGAGGACATACACGGTATTAATTGTTTAAAAAATCTTTTGTGTCCAATAAATAAAATTAAGGAATTTTTTATTTTGTTTTTCAAAATTCCTTTATTACATTTTTACGTACGAAGAAAATTTAATTAAATTTTAATTAAAAAATTTAATTAAATTTAATTAAAAGTCACCTACAAGAAGTATAAAAGCTATGGCCCCCAAGGGTCTGTTCTTGGACCGACCTTATTTGAAAAAATATTTACGAGGGTATTTCAACTCCGAGGTTATATGAATCTTCGGGGTGCCGGTGTTAACAAAACGAAATAAAAACATTTGTAAGTATGTAGGATTCGAATGTAGGCGCACTGAATTCGAACCCAGGACCTTTACCTTACAGTGATGAGACGCCCTGTCACTTAGTCTTTAAAGTTAATTTTTAATGCGTTTTTAAAAACAGTGTATCATTAACTTTTGGTAAACAACCTAAAATTGTGACTAAATTTTATACCTTTTTTTTTTTTCATACAAAACGATGTATTTCTACGCTCCTGGGAGTTATTTAACACACTTATGATGTATGACTATTATTACTGTATAAAATGAAGGGAAAAAATTGTTTCAATATGATAAAGAGTGTTGGAGAAAAGCTTACATTTAAAAAATAAAACTTTTAAGAAGAATTTCCAGATTGAGCTCGATTTTTTCCCGTTGCCGCCCAAGTTCGTCCATAAAAACGTTACACGCCGATTCCTGCAGGGATAAAAATATATTTGAAGCCTTCTAAGCTTGGAATTTCATGGGGCCAGTTTCATTCTGTGCAACACAACAGATTTTAGTTTGTTATTTTAGTAGTTGTTGTTGTCAAATATTTATTGACAAACGTATTTGTTTGTCACAAAAACGTTTGCTACCCTCTTAACAACTTTTTGCATTGGTAACTTTTTCCAGCAATCATCTTCCATCGGTATTTTACAGGCAAAAGAATCCTCTTTGAGATTTAAGGCAGCTCTAATGGTACAACTATAAATCTGGATTGATTTAGATGAACTGAGTTTTTTTATTATTACATATAACATTTTAAAACTAGTGGATTATAGTTTTGGAAACACACTAAAAAAAAGTTAGAGAGAAATGTATTCAGGCAGAAAAAGTCGTACTTTTCATTTTATTCAATAAAGCTTATGTAATTTGTAATGTTATTTCAATCTTCGGTGGTGGTTTTGTGTTCCTTTGGAGGTACACTACTGACGGAATAACGCACAGGTCGACCACAGAAGGCGGTGATAAGGAGAAACGCGAATGGCAGACAATAACAGCAAATATACACAGACCAAAACCAAAATAACATAATTGTTACTGCTGAAAACTGTTTTTAAGGTTCTTGCACTTCTAAATTGAAATTAGCACAGCCATCTTCAGAGGTTGGTCTGGCGTTTTTGCGTTAGTGGTTTCTCCTCCAAAGAAAGAACTCTCACAACACTTTTGTACAGTTAGATGGGTTGAACTTACACAAGAAAAGGTTACACAAATTAAAATGATAATTCGTTTCGTCTTATGATTAGTTTCCATTTTACATATATAAAAATAGGAAAATATTGAGGATAATAAGAAATTATTTATCCCTGGTATGCCCCTGATTGCTTGCAAACATTTATGGCGAATTGGTATGTACCTACGTTTAGCTGTAGAAGAAAAAAAGGTGAACGTGCATAATAATATTTTTATAAATTAACTTTAGCAACATAAATTACATATCCTAGCGAGACATTTATGTCTTGTCTATGGAAACCTCGTTTTTCAATAACAATCCTTTTCAAGGATTTCCATTGAAAATCTACTCCTCTAAAAAAAGAAAACAGTAGGGTCATCGTTATTGACCACGGAGTTAACCACGAGCCAGAATGATGGTGGTGCATTAAAAATGATAATTTCAAGTGATAACTTGGCGTACAAGGGCGTGGGGGAAGAGTAAGAGGACGTGCCGGGGTCTTAAGGAGAGAAAGGAGGTGGAAGAACTCTCGTGCTTCCAGGCCGGATTTCAGTAACCCAAGAGACGTCCTCTCATCTACTCCGATCAGTAAGTACCGAAAACGACACGACAAAGTCCCAGGGGGATGTTGCTAATGTTAGAAAGTCAAATTGCCATGATACCGGACGAAAAACAAGACAGAGGGTTAACCACAAAAATGTTATTGTTAGCCCAACGTTTAGGTAACTTAGAAAGCAGGAAATTAATTCAAGTTAATTAGTTAAAGATTACATCTGTTTATTTGTATTAAGAAAATAAACATTAATTTTTTAAATTATAACTATATTTATTATACATTACAAAGTACATTAAATATGACTTGAAATCTAAGAGCAGGGT